GTGACTCAGGAATAAAGGCAAGCTAAAAAGTAAACTTTCAGTTGCCCTGCACAGAAATAACTGAAGATATTTGTGCCAGAGTTGTATCAGAAATTTCGAAATCAGTCGTATTGACCGGCAAAGAGACGAAAGGCAACGGCGAAAAACGTCAGCAAATATTCCTGTGGCTATGTCCCGAGATCCTCGTGGTGGTACAATATGTGGACTTGTAGGCAGGTCACTAATGGGACTGGAGTACCCTATGCAACACACACATAAAAACTGAATGAGGTTATCGGATCCTCATACGTCTAAATCGACGGGAGAGTCCATCATCATCATCATCATCATCATCATCTCTATCTCTCTCTGTCTCTCTCTCTCTGTATATATATATATATATATATATATATATATGTGTGTGTGTGTGTGTGTGTGTGTGTGTGTACAATAAAACTGTTTTTACAGACAAGGTTTACCCCATACGGAAAACGGTTATATTTAAAACTAGCCGAGGAGCCGTTCTTCGGGAGTACTTTAAGCTAGCCCCTGCGGTGGCTTTTGAGTCTTTGGCCGTTTACCTTCAGTGTCCTATGTATGTAATAGTTATAAGAATATAGAAATAATAAAATTATTTTATCTTTATGTAACACCTTAACTCGGCATAATCTTTCTTCGTATACGCAACCGATTTCCGTAGTTTGTTTACATTTATTTTGCGCGCAATTTTTATTTTCATTTAAAATCACCATTCTTTATTATCCCTTCGTATAAAGTCACTCTTAAAAGACATTAGGGGACGCGAACTATGTAATATTTCGGATACGTCACAGTACGAGTGCTAGACAAAGAAAAACATATGAGCAACATACCGTGCCCCACTTAAGTTTTAATTATGTTTTAATTAGACGATATCAATTGCAACTGCGACGAAAGCGAAATTAAATTTAAGCATTTAATAAATAATTTTTTTAAAAACTTTTCACTCTGTTCGTTTAAATTTAACTCTAAATGAGTTATTTATTTAATTTTTAATCGCATGTAACTACAGTAGTTATTACCTGTTGTGACGTAATCTAAGTGCATTAAATTACAGGTGGGTAAAAGAAGAGAAATTGAAGTCATTAACTGTTTTTTTTGACGTCCAAACTCGTGAACGCGTAGAATGTAAAATCTCCTCTCCTCATTCATGCTGCTTTTTTTTGTGAAGGCAGAGACCATTTCTTAACAAGGGCGGTAACCGTGGATTACTTCACATCCCCTATATTATTAAGGAGTTCTTTCAATATAAAAGTCTATCAGGAGGTCGAATCTTACGACCATACCTCGTGTAGACTGATGGGCTGGTACCAATGGTAATCGGCTTTTCAATTTCACTTATTTGGGTTTTGTGTTGATCCCCTGACAATTCAGCTGGACTCGGTTTCTCTGAGTAACTGATATCCAAAACAGACCTTGATTGATGCTGCAGTGAATTGGAAACTTGTGGGTTGATAACTTTTGTTGATAACGGCTGTTAAGTCCTTCACTTTAGGTGAAATATATTTCGTCGTTGAATTTCACTGTTTTACTTTGAACAGATTTTGGTGAAGCAAGTTTTACGACTGCTGCTGAAGATTTTTAATGTTTTTTACCGGACATATAATATTTTCTTTCTCTGAAACGCTTTAACTCTTCCTGGTTTTTTTTCTTCATAGCAAGTGGAAAACGTCGAGGAGTTGCTGTAGATATCGTTTGCACAAACTCTTTAAACCTATTTTGTATTTATTCTGGAGTCTAGTTTTATTGCCGGTACCCCTACTAATGGCTTCCTCTGATTTTCAGACACAAACAAATCCTGTTTAGACTTTGTTTTTGGAGTTTCTAACAAAGCCTTCACACGACTGATAACTTTGATCTGGTCCATACATGGTCCATACATTTTTTTGTTACATTTTTGAATAATTGGGGAGTTTTTTTTCTAAAATAATCTACTGGGGAGGGACTACTATTACATCTACTCCTCTATCTAATTTGAAATGAATTACTTTACTACATAGTTTTGTAGTAACTTTAACTTCAGTTTCCCAGGCTTTTTTCGTGGCCGCCTTAATTCTATCGTAAGTAGTAATAAACTCAAGAATGTGGTTCTTCCTCCTCATTTCTTGAATTTTAGACCAGCCAGTACCATACATTTTTCATAATGTCCTTTTCTTGAACACTTTCGACAAATTGAATATTTGACTGGATAGTCGTTTTGAGTGTAAAATGGAATATTACCACAGCGCATACATTTAGTTCTACTTCTTTTATGGCCGACTGTATCTCGAGGCTTCTTTTTATATTCCTTTGGTGTTACTTTGCTAACTTTTGCTTCTGTTGCATTTGTGCCTAAAGAAATATATTGAGTTTGTTGCTTGAAAGTTTCATAGACTCTGCCTATGTCTAGACATTTGTCTAGGGTAAGCCTTTTATCCTTTAAAAACTTTTCTCTGACTGTATCATCTTTAACCTCTACAACTATTTGGTTTCGAATTAGCCTGTCTTGCATTTCCCTCAAATTGAAGTCATTTGCTAACTGCCAGAAAGCAGCGACATATGCCTCTTTAGTCTCTGAAGCTTCTTGATTTCAAATATGACATTTGTAAGCTTCGTTCGTTTCATGGGTTTCTCGAACAAAAAATTTTTTCTAATTTCGTTACGACTTCTGATTTTTCTTTCTTTTCTTCATTATTGAATTACAACCTCTCGTAAATGTCGTATGCGTCTTCTATTATTGACAAAAAGACAGATGTTTGGTATGTAATATCAGGTTCTTTGTTGAGTCGACTGGCTTTTCAATAATTTCGAATAAACCTTTTTCAGTTAGTTGCCAAATTTCTTGATTAAACCATTTTTTTTTTTTGCAGGAGGTTCGACATTTACTGTAAATTGCTTTAGGTTAACATGTCCTTGTTCAGAATTTTGTGCAAGTCGTCAATTTGATTAAATTTTTTTTTTATTTAACAAAGATAATAAATTCGTTTTTCTTTTTACTTTATAAAATGTTCGTAGTTAAAATGCAAAGAAAAAAATTATTACAATTTCTTGCAATTTTAAATTTTTTTTAGTTCATTTGTATTTTCCAATGCCTTTTTTTTTCTTTCAGACACCATGTGGCGTAAGTTCTTTCTTGATACCATGTGGCGTAAGTTCTTCCTGATACCATGTGGCATAAGTTCTTCCTGATACCATGTGGCGTAAGTCCTTCCTGATACCATGTGGCATAAGTTCTTCCTGATACCATGTGGCGTAAGTTCTTCCTGATACCATGTGGCGTAAGTTCTTCCTGATACCATGTGGTGTAATTTAATTGTATTAAATTACAAGAGGGGGAAAGAAGAGAAGATGAGGTCTTTAACTGTTTGTTTTGACGTCCAAACTCGTTAACGCGTAGAATTTAAAAATTTTTCCCTCTTTATTCATGCTCCGTTTTTATAGCGAAGGCAGGTACCAGTTCTTAACAAGGGAGATAACCGCAGATTACTACACACCTATTACTTCAGGTTGTTTATGAGTCGCCGATATCGAAAAATGGACGGACGGACGCACGTACATGCGCTTTATTATTATAGAAATGCTCAAGATATACAATAAAAAAAATCGAAAGTGTAGAGTTAGCGCAAAAGGTTAGTGTTTGTAATATTATATATATATATATATATGTTTGTTTTTATCAATAGGCTATGCATATCTTTGTATTGTTTCATAACTTTCATCTTCTTTATAATTATTATACATTTAATTACAATAGAATAATTTGATTATATTTTTTATGTGCGTTTCTAATGTTATTTTTCTTGTGTAGGATCATTTTAATTCTATGGTCAATTGTTAATTAGTGTTTGCCTTCTGTTGTTCAGTTCACTATACAATAGTATGTGTGAAGAGGATATTAGGTGTGGTCTCTAAATTAAATCAATTAAATGACTATTTTGTACCTCACTATTATTCTCAAAGAGACATGAATTTGAATATCTTCTTATTTTGCATACAGGTGTGTTAAACATATTGCTAGAATCAATTAGAACACTAGGAACGAAATTCTGTTGCAAATATTAAATTCGTAAATAAATTGAAGGAGAGAATTATTTTCAAAAGATCTTTCGAGATTATGAATTTCAATCCATAAGAGGAATAACGGTAACCCCCCCCTTTTTAGAGGCGGAAGCACACAAACTCATGCTGGGATTTTGTTCTAATCAATAAAATAGGCCGGTTATCAGTCTCATCTGACTCAGTACCGGTTTGTCTTGGCTTGAAATCAGTATGCTACGTTCGCTTGTCCGAATTTGCTTTTGTGTGTCAGCTCCAATTCTTAGTTTGTGATCATTTTGTCATTTTACTGTTGATTTGCTTTGCATATATTGTTTGCTTGCTTCATATTATTTTTTTTTTTGCTCTGTTCTTTTCTTTTTCTTGTTTTTTGCTTATTACAAACTTTGTCAATTCTGTTTGCTGGACAGTTCTGTCATTTATTTTGCATTTGACCATTGCAACTCACTCCACAAAAAAAATGTCATCTACATATGTAATATATATCATAGGTTTGTTTAACTATTCCAAAAAAGTTGTTTCTTATTTGGAGCATATAAAAGTCAGAGAATATCAGACCTAGGGGTGACCCCGTAACAACGCCGTAAGTTTGTATGTATATATAACCAAACTGGTTGTAGAAGTAGAGCATGCTAAGAGAAGTTTAGGAAAAAAAATGTAGGTTTTTATTATGAGAAGAACGAAAAGAATGATTATATACCGTTTAAAAAATTATTCAATAGTTTATTTTACGGAGACATGCGTATAAAACTATGGAAACTCAAATGTAGTTTTTTTTATGAATTTCATGATGCTTTTCGTTGGTAGGCATTGAAGTATGATATGGACGATTGTTTTTCAATATGGACGATTGTTTTTCAATATCTGATAGACCCAAGTAGGGAGAGGATTACCAGTTATAAGAAAACGAAAAACTTAAAAAAAATATAATAAAATATTCAATAAAGAGAATTTGCTGTAATCTCTCTCTGTCTCTGTCTCTCGCTCTCTCTCTCTCTCTGTCTCTCTCTCTCGCTCTCCCTCTCTCTCTGTCTCTCTCTCTCTGTCTCTGTCTCTCTCTCTCTCTCTCTATATATATATATATATATATATATACACACACACACATATCTATCTATCTATCTATCTATCTATCTATCTATCTATCTAAATGTATATTTAGGCAGCAACCTTTCATTTAAACATCTTTCATTAAATATGGCAGACAAAATTTTTTAATTAGATTTGAATTAGTTTTTCCAACATCCTTACATTTTTTCGTTTTGTAGGAGTAAGAAGTACAGAAATTTTCCATAATTTTCATTGTCTCAAGCGCTTTCGGCCACTTTAGCCATTTTTAAGGGGGGGGGAGTTTGTTTTTGGTATTGTTAGTTTTTCCTCATAATTTGACTGTTGTATTTTATTTCTGTGTTGTTTTGAATAGGAGCGTTTATTCCGAGCCTTTGCGCGTTGAGCGTGGCTGGAAATCCCGTGAACATTTTTCTAGTTAAAAATTTTAAACACCCCATTTCCACTGTTAAATAATTTGAGTTTGATTGTAGGAGAGACATGTTTGATATACAGGGCCTCTCTAATAGGGAAATGTTTCTGGTAATATGAGTTATATATAATTTTAGTGTTTTCGACTAGGATTTTTCTTAATGGTCCTTGCAAATTGTGGGTTTATAGAAGTTTTTTTTTATCACTGTAATCTGTTTAGTGACAAGTGAGGCGTCGACTCAAGGAGGTGGTAGTATGTCCAATATAAACAAACGATTTGTGACAAGAAACAGAGTATTTTACTGAACAGTGAAATTGATGCATTATATTGGTCATCGCTAGTTTAGATTTGAAATATAACTCATAATGATAACCGCAAAATACATAGATTCTTCGATGAATTTAAAGAAACGATTATATGAACAGAAAAGCGTTATTTTACAAGACTACACTAAAATCTTTCGCCATTCATCGTAATGAAGCTGCTAATAGTTTCGACTTAAAAGGTATGGATCTAATTAAAGATGAAAGTAATTTACTGAAATGAAAATGAACAGAAACTGTACATATTTCGGAGTCATCCAAGGTAAATTTACGTCCAGGTTCTTAAAACACTTCACTTTTCTTAACAAACCTTCTGTGAACGAAAAGTTGGAGAATTGTATTAAAGGGAGATAACTGAGACATCCGGAAGAGACATGAAACGAAATAAAGGGTTCATTTCGAAATTGTAATCACCTGAAAAAGGCCGGAACTTACAACGGCCGAAACGTCATGAATATGGCGATAAAGATGAAGACAACAGTCCGAACAATGTAAATAGTGTAAATACTTACAATACCTCATCTCAGAAATATAGAGGGAGATATTCTGTTGTCACAATATGGGATATTTAAAAACAACAGTGATAAAGAACAAATACGTTTGGAAACCGAATGAATGTGTTTTTAAAAGTGTTTTTTAATACATACAAACACGGGACATGCTCACTATCGAACAAGCAGTTCATATGGACAGGTCGTTACCACGTGCGTCAACGAAAATTTCATCTATTCCTTTTTCAGGCCATAATAGTAACTTAAGCACTCAACAAAAATTCGAGGTAAGAAAACCCCAGAAAATTCTTGTATTTTTTCAACTGAATTACCTAGACACTCATTGCACACATGTATTAAAAAAATCATATGAGAAAGACTTATTTATTCTTTATCTTATCATTCTGATGGGTTCCGATCCATATTTCATTTACATTTGATCCCAAACTTACAATTTTACTCAGTATTATGCTCTCTCGTGTTTCCAACATCATATAACAACCAGATAATAAAAAAGACTTATTTTGTTGTTTCCCCATTTTGCAGTCTTTCATTTTTACAAGTATTTTTGTATATATAAATGTTAGGGAATTTATAATTATTTACTCAGAGTTAAAACTCCCTTAAAATATAAACATCTATTTTTTGTTTTATTTAACCATTATTTCATAATTTTTTTTTTTTCAAAATCAGTGATTGTTTCTCCAAAGATCTATTGCTTTTCCACGTTTCTCAAAAATGTAACTGTTGAAAGGAAAAAAAAAAAAACACAAATGTCCACTACAGGGAGATTACAGAGAGAAAAGTTATTATATAAGGCGAAAAAGTTATTATATAAGGCGAAAATGACAACAAAGGAGATAGCAAGCGAATAGAAGAATTACATCGAAGTAACTGGGAAATAATTAAAGGAAAAAATATGCAAATCATTTGCTATCATTCAAAGATATAAGAATAACACTAGGTTATCAAAATATGTACGGTGACTAAAAATGAAAAAAAAGTTAGTAGTATGTAATAAAAAACAGACAGAAATTGCAATCTATGCATGGAGGATAAACTGCAAATTCTAGAATTCAAGAACAAAAAGAATTAAATTATCTCAAACCGGTAGCATTCTGGCGTATTTTCATTGAAAAAAAGTGAGAAAAAACTCTCAGATGCGCTATTAACAAACAGACCCTATTTTGAAAACTCGCTAAGTGTGAAACAGCTCTAATAGGTAAATAAAACAAAATGTAGTATCTGTCTGTCTTTTTTTAAAATTTTTTTTAATCATTTCACCCTAAGCAAGGCAATAAATCCACTAGGGCGTAAGGTTACTGAGTGTTAGAGAATATAATAATATACTATTAAAGAGAGAGGACAATAAAAGAACAAGAATTAAGAAGACATAAAATAACAAGTGACCTTGCATTTAAATTTTGGAAGATCAAAGTTGACTGGGAATCAAGAAACCGGAAAAGAGTTCCGCGAGCGAGAAGTACGACAGAAGAAACTGCTAGCATGGAACATATGGTTATATTTAGCCATTTCAACTGTAAATTGATGAGACCTAACTGCCAATCTAGCACTGCGCTTAAATTCACAAAGTCTAGGTATTCTAAAGGAAAGTTCATCAGAACGATTACCATGAAAATATTTATAGAAAATGCGGCGCAGGGAAAGCTCAGAGAGAGAGAGAGAGAGAGAGAGAGAGAGAGAGAGAGAGAGAGAGAGAGAGCTAAGGTCGGTATTCAAGTGAAAGATAGGGTTTCGAATATTGATGTTCAGAGTATGCAGCTGATATCCTCAAATGGAAAATGGCATTTCACAATATTTCTTCCTCAATTTCTTCTTCGTTATATCTGTGTACTATTCTCTGATTATGAGTAAGAATACCTGAGCTTAAGAAGAAACACATTCCCAAGAACACGAACATAGATAGAAGGCATTATATATGAAACACTTTTATCCTTTTTGACTGTTCTGGTTATCAATCGGCTCCGAAGGGAAATGGCATTTGGCAATATTTCTGGTTCCTGTCAGAGTAGAAACGGACGCCAAACAACGGGTTAAGATGATGTCACCATATGAAGAGGTAAATCATGAGAACAGCCGACACTTGGGACCATTAATGGGAAAGAAATGATGCAAAAAAAAGAGAAGGATAATAGCTGTTCATCTCGTTTTAACCGGACGAGCAATAACGAATAGCCATGAATGCCTGTCATTTTCTATTCATTCAACACTTCATGCTACCCCCACCACACAGAAAAGCATAACCACTGACACACATATATTTCTACACCTGCGTATACACGCTTACCTTTGCATATGGGCAAATATGTGCAGCCGTGTAAAGAGGAGGCTTTCTTAAATCTTCAAATGATGACTCGCAACTACGACGTTGTTTCATGTTTTCAACGCCCAACTACACTTATATTTCAAATATGAATATTTACACATATCTATCTATAGGTAACTACTAAACGTAACTTAGTTTGGTATAAGGACGCACCTATGGGGAACATAGAGTAAAAATATCTAGACGGTATTTTCGGAATGGAAATTTGCTCGCGTCTCACCAAATTTTATGTGAGAAAATGTACATTAAAAAAAAAAACAAACAAAGTGATAGATGATCATGGATTCGAGGTCAGAACATTGTCATTGATCACTCTCTCCTTCAATTTACGGATTCTAGTTACTAAATTCTTAATGCTTGATACAATGCAAAAATATCACAATAATAAACTCGGTCAATAATTAATTTTAACTATTTATACTGAGATTCATGCAATTACAATTAATCCATTATATCTACATACAACGTGTGAAAGGAAGTGCGATACCCTGTCACCGTAAGCCGCCAATCAGAGAAGATAACAGATAAGTGGCTAAGGCAGTTCTGCCTCCCCTGGTGTCACCAGCAGCTTTTGCCACAAGACAGGGTATTGCTTTTTGTGTAGACGTGTCAGGCTATGCGATTTTCATGCAATTGCAAATCAGATTTTCTACATTGTGTCAAAAGCGTTTGCTTTTGTTTGTTAGCCAATACACAACGCACTCATAACGACCGTTATGAATGTCGTAGAATGAAAGATGTGTTTCACGTCGGAAGTAGCATTGTGTTGCGAACATGGTTTTAATTAACTTGTTTATTTTGGATCTGGTAAAGATCCAACTCGATGCTTGTTGAGCTGTGGTCTGGAGACGATGTGAAGCACTCTTCAGGCTTCGGCCAGTGATGCTCACTTTCAAAAGGAAGGAAACATTTTTTTTATTTTTTTTATTTTTTTAAGCATTACGCCCCGAGCAAGGCGTGAAGCCACTAGGATGCAGAGGGTTGCGGAAGATTTGGAGCGAGAGCAGATAGGAGTGATAGAAGAAAGGATGAGGAGAAGGATAGTGGGTAGATCAAGGTAACTGGAGATGTCGATTGACATTACATTTGAATAGTTGGAGATTATAGCTTTTAGGGAAACAGTAATTGGGAAGGGTGTTCCACAGGCGAGAGGTGCGAGGTATGAAGCTATTGGAGTAGAAGAGACGGCTACATTTAAAAATTTCTGATGCCAGCCTCGTAGGGCGCTTGAATTCATGGAGTCTGGGAACCAGTGAAAGCAGCTCATCGGAGCAATTACCATGAAAGTATTTGTAGAAAAGACAGAGAGAGGCGACGGCGCGTCTGTGAGAGAGTGAATGCAGACGAGACGCCAGATCAGGGCCAATTAGATTACATATCCGTCTCTGGATCTTGTCAAGAACTCCGAGGTAAGCAGAAGGTGCTCCAGACCATATATGGCAGCAATACTCCATGCAAGGGCGAATGGTTGTTTTGTATATTTGAAGTATCGATTCAGAGGGGAAAAATTTCCTGGCGCGGCACAGAGAGCCAACTTTCC